TTGTTGATAGTCTGTAATTTATGATTGATGAGTAATAATTAATATTATAGTTTATAATTAATAATTAAGATTGATAATTGATAAATTAATTGAAATATGATAAAATTAATGATTAAATTAACTTATAAATATAAAATAATATAAAAAATATTTAATACATAATTATTTTATTTTAAAATAAAATAAATTATAAAAGATAAAAGTAGATTTTTGTTAAAATAATAAAAATAAAAATAAAAGAAAAAAAAAGAAATTATAAGATAAATGCTATTTAAAATAACACCTGAAAAATAAATTATATGTATAAGTTCGTGATAAAAAACTCTTATCAAATAGAACTAAATTGTCATATATACACTAAACTCAAAAAAATGTATTACCGCACAGTCTTGTTATTTATTCTTGCATTTTGACTTAGATTTATAAAATTATATTTTTTATTAAATTAGTAACAAATTCGTGCGTATGAGCGGGTTCTGGTCTAATATGTATAAATATCATTGATTCATAAATATTATTTTTTCATGTATAAAAATATTTAGATTAATAATAAATTTATCCCCTATATAAATATTATTTTTATTTAGGTATCGCTTGCAAAAATATTTGAATCAATAGTAAATTTTTGTATATAAAAATATTTTAATCAATAATAGATTTTTTTTTCGTATATAAATATCATTTTTGTTTAGGTATCATTTACAAAAATATCTGAATCAGTAATAAATTTTCGTATATAAAATTATTTAGATCAATAATATATCTTTTTTTCATATCATTTTTAGATAAAAAAATTTAAATCATAAATATTATTTTTCATATATAAAAATATTTAGATTAATAATAAAAAATTGCGATATACAATTTACTATAAAACTCATAATAAAATTAACCTGACAAAATATCCATACACTTTTTCACTCTAACACCCAAAATTATTTTTTAATATTCACCACATCCACATCCATGCACAATTTAAAACTGGATCAAATATTAAGCTGACTTTCTCAGTTTATTTGTTATGACAGTAACTTATATTTTACAACTATGAATAATATAGCATATCTGATTTGCTGATATACAGTAAAATAATGCACTTGTGAGGACTATTCCATAAAACTTTCTGTGAACTAAAAGGCATGAAAACTAACCTCTGAAAGATAATTTAAGATGCTCTACAATTATATACTGATGAGAGGAAATAAACTAAAATACCGAATATAATATTAAATATAATATTAATTATTTTCTTATACTCTAAACATATAAAATGGAAATTCAATTATAAAAACATTAAAGGTGTATTGTTCATGCAAGACACACAAAAACACCACTAATCAAATACATACCTTCCCTAGCTCCACCTCTATTGGTCAAAAGAATTGATGCCACATATGAAACCTTCTACACCAATTATGTGTTCATATATTTTCAACAAATAGGAATGCTTAAGAACTTATATTAATGCCAAAAACTCAACTTACACATAAAAACCAATTATATAAGTTCATGAAGGACTTAATTATAAACTATTTAAGATCAAGAAGGACTTACAAATTATTTATAACAAAGATTAGTTCATGAACTTTATACTAGCTACTATTATTGATATGTATATGGACCTGATTATAAAATATTTTCACTTTAGAAATCTATTTAAAAATCCTCAAATAGTTCGGGACTATTTAGTAATTAAACAATTTAAATCTTCGTAATAATTTTATTTTTTTGTGTAAAAAAACATGTGTTAATAATTCTTGAACATGTCTATTTTTCATATATAAAATCACTGATTAGAAAGAGTTCAAGGTTTAGAGTATCAGAGCATATCATATATATAAATATCTGAAAATTTTCGAACATTACGACTATTACTAACAACGTATAATTTTCATCAACCTCTGGTGATGCATGCTATACTGAAAGGAAAACAATTGGAATTAAAATTTGGATATATATATATATATATATATATATATATATATATATATATATATATATATATATATATATATATATATATATATATATATATATATATATATATATATATATATATATATATATATATATATATATATATATATATATATATATATATATATATATATAAAGATGTTGTTTGATATTGCTTATATATTGTTTAACTTGGGTTTAACATCGTACATAATTGAGAATATGACTAACCTTGTAGTTCACTAGACTAGCCACACCCGAAACTTTATAAGTACTTTCAATCTTAAGCTTCTTCTACTGCTGCTCAGTTTTCACGTGTCAACCACCTGTTACGGTTTAAATTTATATTATACATATTTTGGACTAAACTCATATTATCATTCAACAATGCCCTTCAAAGTCATTATTCAAACCAATGTCTAAAAAACTAATTCTGTATTTTCAAAAACAAAAATCATTCAGACAAGAGGAAATTTATTTCTTCCATTATAAATAAGAGAGGATTCATTTTGGTCATAGAGGGATACCATCAAAGTAGAAGGTTTACCTCTTCCAATGAGTAACTCATGATTTCCTTTTTCAACTTGTAATAATACGCCACATGTCTTGTTTTATCTTTCACGCTTTGCTTTTTCAAGCTTTTCCTTTTCTGTAACTCCTTTCTGCAATAATACATGTTTCAGAAATGGAAGCATAATATTTTCCATCGATCGAAGAAGTGTTACTGCAAAATCAGTCTCCAACAGACCTTTATATACTCCCAATCCCCCTACACAAAATTCACCACAAACCCTAACATAAAAAACCTAACATTTCATGCATAAATAAATCATAAACATAGCTAAAACATTAAATAAACCATGAAGAAGATAATAAACAACATGAGCGATGTCGATGAATGTAGGAGTGAACAAAACAACTTCATCGTTTATTCCGTTAAAGGAATAATGAGTGAAAGGTAAGCAGGTCTGATCATAGTGGAGTAGTTTCGAAGCTCCGTCAATTTCCTTGGACATACCAGAATTACTCTAAATTCTAAAATGGAAAAACACTGACTAGGTCGGGTCGACACGATGGTTTTTACATTGAAGAAGAAAATAGAAACAACAATAAATATGCTGACAACGAAAATCAAAAACGAAAAATGATTACCTGATATGCAAAAACTTAAAACAGTTGATACTGATGCTTTTCTGAAACCTAATTTCGTGCATCATTTTCATTTTCATAGAGTTTCCAAAACCCTAATTTTGTGCATCATTATCGACTTTGATTAAGAGTTTGTTAGCAAAGTGTTACAGAGAATATCATTATGGTTTGTAAAGAAGAAGAGGAGAAGGAAGAATAAGAGAAAGAACAAAAATGAAGTAGTTCGTGAGAGAGAAAGAGAGAAAGGAAGAGAGAGAGAAGAAATTGAAATTTGAAATTGAGACAAAATGCTTAATGACATATTACTAAGCAATAGTAATCATCAATAATGGAGAAAATTTTGAAACAATAATTTATTTTAGACCAATCGATATTAACTTGTTGACAACATATCAAAAAGTGGAATAAAATTAAATAAATAATAACTTGATTCAATAATATAATTTATTACAAAAAGTAAATTTTAGACACAATTTACCCCAAAATAATAATATGGCAAAATTAAAAAGAAAGACAACATAATAATTTTCAGAACAACTAATTTTCTTATATTATAAATAAATTATAGATAGATATTAGAGATATATCATTAAATGATAAGTTTGAAGTGCTAATTTAACTGAAATACTGAGACTTATCTTTTCTATCGTAAACTCTATTTCTTAAAAAAATAATAATTAATATAATTGTAACGTTTATTTATTAAATTTTTTTTTGACACAATTTACAAAAAAAACTAAATAAACGTTACAATACATTAATTAAAAATAATAACAAATAAAATAAGATGAAAATGTTTTTATGATGTTTAATTTTGAAAATCAATTTTAAGAACTTTCTATATATTTTGAAAGTTTGATATCTGATGTTTTCTACAAATCCTTGATCAAATAGTAAGAAACATAAATATCTATCATTTGTGCTACATAATATTTATACTTTACCTATTACCAATCATAGTTAAACAACACACTTTAGAAAATATAATTACTTTAAAACTATTCTAAAACTAAATAGTATTAAAATGGAAAATATTTAATAAAACCGAGAAAAGAGAATACAAGATAACATTAAAAATATAAAATACCCTTAAAATAATATAAGTTAAACAACACACCATTTTTTATGGGTTTAATTTATATGTATAACATTCTAAAATCATTTTAAATCTGTCATTCAGTAAAAAGTCAACAATATATTTTATCATTACAAAAAATTTAAAATTAAAATATAATTTATTCTAATACAAAATTGTAATTAATTAACGATGTAAAATTAATTTATACTATAAGTATATCACTTCTTTTCTCATTTTTTACTTAAAATAATATAATTAAAAATATCAAAATATAAAATAAAAGAGAAAATAAAAATAAAAAAGTAATACAAAAAGTTCATCCATGAAGGTCATCCAAGTCATTTCCTCTAACAACCATCTTGTTAACTGTGACTTTACCAAAACACCCTTTTCCCGTTTTTCCAGCTTTGCATGCATGCCATTGTTGTCACAACGCACTCTCATTGTAATAAACAATAAATAAATAAAAAAACAAAATTAAAAAAAATGAATATTTCAATTCAGCTAATAAAAAAAAAAACACCTCATAGCATGTAGACGCCGGAGTTTGACCGTTAAACCTAACAAACCAAAACCCAAAGCATTCACAAATCTCTCGTGCTACACCGGTTACTCTATCATTTCTCTCTCTTCTTAATTCTAACCGTTTTTCCACCTGAAAACTGTTATAAGGTCACGGCGACGACGGTGCCGGCGAAGGCCAGGACGACGTCGTTCGCCGGAGAACAAACAACAAACAACAAACAACAAACAAAAATAAACAAAATAGTTATTAATTTATTAGATCTGTTGAATTGAGAGTTTTGGATTTAGAGAAATGATGATTTCGAGAGGATTGTTCGGGTGGTCTCCGCCGCATGTACAACCGCTGACGCCGGTGTCGGAGGTGTCGGAGCCACCGGAGTCTCCGTCGCCGTATTTGGACCCTAGTGCGGAGAATTCTACGTCGCAGCAGGTGGAGGTGGAGGAGGAAATGGAGGAGCAGGAGGAGATGGAGCCGCCGCCTGCTGCCGTGCCTTTCTCGAAGCTGTTTGCGTGTGCGGATAGGTTTGATTGGTTTCTGATGGCGGTTGGCTCGGTTGCTGCGGCCGCGCATGGAACGGCGCTTGTGGTTTATTTGCATTATTTTGCGAAGATTGTTCATGTGTTGAGGATGGATGATCAGCCGGCGGGGTCGCAGGAGAGGTTTGAGAGGTTCACTGAGGTTAGATTGTGAAATTTTGTATGTAGAAAATGAAACCCTAGTTATTTATTGCTTTGCTTCTGATTTTTGTTTTAGTTATTTGTTTTTGGTTAACTGGTTTGCACTGTTGAGATATTGATGCTTGAATTTGGAAATTCGTTTGTTGAAATAGTGGAATAGCTTTGTTATTGTTAGAATTGGTAATGATGATGCTTCTAAGTTCTAAGCATAGCTTGTAGATGTAGGTTGTCGATTCTGATAGTTTCTGATGGTTTGATTTTGCTCACATAGTAGGATACATGGCTTAAAGTTGCGGTTGTAGTTATGGTTTGAACCTTTACAATGCGTTAAAATGCAGGCAAATGTATGTGGCTGCAATTGTGGTGGTGGACTATGTTTTGGGGAAGTTATACTTAGGATTTAAACTTTGTATATGAAAATGTGTCTTGTATGTTGTTTGTGCTGAGCTATAGGGAACCTGTACTGCTTAGTAGTTAGTTTTCTGGCTTCGCGTCGGAACTAAATTGGTCAAGATATGGGAACATCAATGCTTAGAAACATCTTCATGTGGCTGCAATTGCGGTGGTGGACTTATATTTTGGGGAAGTTATATTTAGGATTTAAACTATGTATATGAAAATGTGTCTTGTATGTTGTTCATGTTGAGCTATAGGGAATCTATACTGCTTAGTCAGTTTTTTGGTTTCATTACGGAATTAAATTGGTCAACATATGGGAACGTCAATGCTTAGTAACATCTTGAAGTCAGACTTTCTAAATCATTGATTGTGGTTCTTGGCGTAATTGATTGGACAATGAGAAATTCCAAAAATTGTTTAGTTTAATTCAGTGAGTTTATAGCTAAATGAGTCCTACATCAGTCGGTTGAGTTATGGAGCTACTATTCAAAGAAGTACTTACCTCTCACCAGCCTGAGCTTTTGGAAATCAGATATCCCCTATTTTGTTTTAAAACTTTTTTGATCTCGTAGCCATACAATAATGATAGAAGGGATTTAGGATTTAATGGGTTTGAATTTACTGGGCGACATCAAGGTTAGAAAAATATTGAAGTTTCATTGGGCACATGTTTAAGGAAATGCAATTTGCAAGTTATAGTAAGAGGTTTATCTGCATGGTGAGTTCTTGGTTGTTTGGTTGCTTGAACAATACCCGTGGGCAAGAGAGGGTTTGAGTTTGGTATATTTTGAGGAAAGAAAATTAAGAGCAGCACTAGTAAATTAGAGTTTTTAATTTGACGGGATTAATTTATTTTGCTGTCTTCCATGTGAAATAAATCTGGATAGAGTACAAAAAGGGAAGAAAGCAAGATCTTGGAGAAACCTAAGCATCATATGTCACTTCTATGGTTTTATTTCATTACAAGAGTACAACTTGTATGCAATTTTCTACCTTCATAAAACTGTTCATGTTATTAAGAAAGAAAGAAAAAAACTTTGCAGCTTTTTAAATAGGCCTATTATACCAATGACATATCCTCTAAGGCTAAGGAGTCCAGTTCTAACCCTTTAAGAAGTCCTCTTTCTATTACAAGAAAGGATATCGAAATAAGATTGAATTTTCTGCTAAATAACATAGGCCCACCCAATACTATGAAACAAATATGAAATTCCCATTGAACTACAATCAGGAAGTATTTAACTACTCCCTCTGTCCCTAATTATAAGAATTTTTGAAAATTTGTCCGTCCCTAAATATATGATCCTCTACAAATTTCTAGATGCATTAATACTCTCTTTCCAAATGTATCTCTGATTAATACTATCAATTTGCCTTGAAATATGAGTAATTTGGTAATATATTCAAATTATACTCATTAATTACAATATTACACTACCAACTTTTCTTAATGCGTAAAAAGTGCCAAAGGGTCCTACAAATAGGGACAGAGGGAGTAGATTTTATTTCCTGGCAGGTAGTTAGAATTGTCTGCTTGTAATTTGTCAAATGAGTGGATGCCTGATTTTTTTTATTATTATGGTGCTTACAATTTCGTTTTTTCTTGTCAACTATATATATAGAGAGAGAGACAAAAGAAGGAAATATAATTATGTAAGGTAGAGGATATGTATTAAATTGAAGGTTTAGATTATACTTATCGTACTCCTATTTGTATTAATAACATGGTTATTTGTTTCACGATGAGTCAATGACAAATATCCTTTACTCAGAAGTTAGAACATAGTACATGCAACAACTATCATAAACCATAACTCTTGTGAATTCCCAAACTGTATGAAGAGTTGATTAATATATAGTTTGTGTGACTAATAATTGCCTCTTGTACCATCAGATACCTTATGTTTTAGCAGGTTTTTACACTCCTTTTAAGGAGTTTGAGTACTATTATGTTCTTTTTAGATTTTGCCCTCCTTTCTACTTCTTGAAATTGTAATATTCTTACCGGGTCTATTTGCTGCGAGATAATGATATGATTATGGGAGTTACTTGCCATTGGGCTTGTTATAAGCTACTTTCTACATTTAGCTAATTTTTGTGAGAAACTAACCTAGATAGCTTCATACTTGTGTTAACTATATCCAGAATTATGTATTGTAACTGTACAACAACAACAACCCAGCCTTATCCCACTAAGCGGGGTTGGCATGTATTGTAACTGTGTCAAGTTTTAAAGCTCATTAGGTAAAAAAGTTAACATTTTCACATACTTGAGGTGAGAATAGAAATTTTAGGAGGCTTTTTTCTATGTACTTTATTTGGGGACCTTTGAAATAGACGTGTATAAAATGCTGGAATTCAAGGGAACACTCTTATTCTCCAACTCTTTTTATGATTTGCCTATCTGAATCTGATTATTTGTTGGTCTACTTTTGATATAGTTTTTGAAATTTCAGAAGAAGATATTATCGGATGACAAATGATCTTTAGTGTTCTCTAGAGCTTTCAATTTCTGAACTAGTGAACTTATGCTAAACTCCCTCTTTTTATTATTTTGCAGCTTGCTTTAACCATTGTTTACATTGCAGCGGGAGTTTTTGTGGCTGGCTGGATTGGTAAAATTAAATGTGAATTGAAATTAATAATCAGAAATGTATTTTATTAGATATTTCATTTAATTATCTTTCCATACTAATTCTGTATTTTCCCTGTTTAATAGAGGTTTCATGTTGGATTTTGACTGGAGAACGACAAACTGCCGTCATAAGATCCAACTATGTTCAAGTATTATTAAATCAGGATATGAGTTTTTTCGATACTTATGGGAATAATGGAGACATTGTGAGTCAAGTATTGAGTGATGTGCTGCTTATTCAGTCTGCTCTTAGCGAAAAAGTATGTCTTGGTTCAATCATGTGTGTAAATTTCTCCAGTATGTGAAAATGTTAATTTCTTTATAGGTAATATATTCAGTCATATATCCCATATAACATGTTTATTTTCTTTTGATGATACAGGTTGGGAATTATATTCATAATATGGCTACATTCTTCAGTGGTCTTGTCATTGGCCTTATCAACTGTTGGCAGATTGCTTTGATAACATTAGCAACGGGTCCCTTTATTGTTGCCGCGGGAGGAATATCAAATATATTTCTCCATAGACTTGCAGAGAATATCCAAGATGCATATGCTGAAGCAGCCAGCATTGCTGAACAGGTGATTTGTTGTTTGAATTTCAAATCTGTCATCCAAGTATTTTCCTTTTTTATTTGATTGTTTTTTTTTCTGGCTAGGATAAAAGTCTCTCACTTAGGTAACTTAATGGAATATCTTTCATCTGTTAATATATATAGTTTTTGTTAGCATAGTTACTGTACCTTAATTCTTGGTTTTGTAAAAATTGGGGGCGGGTATTATCATTGGGCTCATTCCGCGTCATGGTTGGGTCATGTAAGATCATTAGTTGCCTGAGAACATTCTCTAGTTTACTGCTAGCACGTGGCGTCTCATGAAGTCTACCCGTGCATATCCCGTTTACCTAGCTTGGCTGTTTATCTTCTTGTGACTTGATAATTCTCCATCCAGTTTATCTCCGAGGATGAATTACACTTCAGGTTTCATCCATTTAATTTGCATCTGTTATGTTTGGGTTTGTTTATACTGTTTTTTCCGACCGGGAAGTAAAGTAAATGTGCTACTTGTTTTTTGGGCCATTCTTGTTGATAGTGTGTAGTTTATGATTCCTAGTAAGATAAGAAGCACTTTAGTTTATTATTAGCTATTTCTTTAATATTTTGAATTTACAAAGGGGAAAGAATGGTGAAGTTCTCTCTATTTGTTAAAGTATTTTAATGCTGCTGATTCTCAATGTAGTCCATATCTTGTGATGCAGGCAGTTTCCTATGTAAGGACATTGTATGCATTTACAAATGAAACGTTGGCCAAATACTCATATGCAACATCACTGCAAGCTACTCTTAGATATGGCATATTGATAAGTCTTGTTCAAGGGCTAGGTCTTGGATTCACATACGGACTTGCAATATGTTCTTGTGCTTTACAGCTCTGGGTTGGAAGATTCTTAGTTATTCACGGAAAAGCACATGGTGGTGAAATTGTAACAGCACTTTTTGCTGTAATTTTAAGTGGCCTGTGAGCATCTTTTTCTCAACTTTTATATTTTCATTGTTTATTCATTATTTTGTTTTACAATATTTGTTAATTTGATTCAGGGGATTGAATCAAGCAGCGACAAATTTCTACTCCTTTGAACAGGGGCGGATAGCTGCTTATAGATTATATGAGATGATAAGTCGGTCATCCTCATCTGTTAATCATGATGGCACTTCTCCAGACTCTGTTCAAGGAAATATAGTGTTTCGGAATGTTTATTTCAGCTATCTGTCTCGTCCCGAAATCCCTATCTTGAGTGGATTTTTTCTCACTGTACCTTCTAAGAAAGCTGTAGCACTTGTTGGCAGAAATGGCTCTGGAAAAAGTAGTATTATTCCACTCATGGAGCGTTTTTATGATCCTACATTAGGTAATTACTTTACCTTTGACACTGTATAATTAATTTTACATTGCATTCAACATAGAACTCTATTGATCATTTGCTAATTTTACTTGATTTGCTAATCTTTGAATCAGGAGAAGTTCTTTTAGATGGTGAAAACATCAAGAATTTGAATTTGGAGTGGCTGAGGAGCCAAATAGGACTAGTTACCCAGGAGCCTGCTTTGCTCAGTTTGAGTATAAGAGATAACATTGCTTATGGGAGGGATGTCACCATAGATCAAATTGAAGAGGCTGCTAAAATGGCCCATGCACATACATTTATCAGCTCATTGGAGAAAGGTTATGACACACAGGTGAAGATTGGTTGACATGATCATTTGTTTATGCCTTTTTTTTTGGGGGGTGGGTGGGGGGTGGGTGGGTGTATTTTCAGTTGTTTCCATTCAAATGTGTTTACATATTTATATCTAAAGATGCTTTTACCTGTCTTTTAGGTTGGTAGGGCAGGTCTAGCTTTGACTGAAGAGCAGAAAATAAAACTTTCTATTGCTAGAGCTGTGCTTCTAAATCCATCGATTCTTCTGCTTGATGAAGTCACCGGTGGACTTGATTTTGAGGCTGAGAGGGCTGTTCATGAGGCTCTGGATATGCTTATGTTGGGACGCTCAACAATAATAATTGCTCGAAGGCTTAGTCTCATAAGAAATGCCGATTATATAGCTGTAATGGAGGAGGGTCAACTCATTGAAATGGGTACCCATGATGAATTGTTGAACCTGAATGGCTTATATGCAGAGCTTCTACGATGTGAAGAGGCAGCAAAACTTCCCAAGCGGTATTTCAACAAATCTTACTCCTTCCTTTGCCATGCATTACTGTTTTCATTTTGTTCATAAACTAATATAAGGATGAAGAAAGTGAAAAGATAGAATAATAAACTAGCAATATTTACATATTTTTTGTGAATCCTGATCACATTTAACTTTTTAATGATCACCTAGGATGCCTGCTCGAAACTACAAGGAGACTGCAGCATCTCAAATTGAGAAGGATTCTTCAGCAAGCCATAGCTTCAACGAACCATCATCCCCCAAAATGATGAAGTCACCGTCTCTTCAAAGAATTTCAAATGTATCACATTCGCGACCTTCAGATGTCGTCTATAACTTTCAAGAATCACCTAAAGACCTGAGTCCACCTCCTGAGATGATGCTGGAAAATGGTCAAGCTCTAGATGCAGCTGATAAGGAGCCATCAATAAGAAGGCAGGATAGTTTTGAAATGAGACTGCCAGAGTTACCCAAGATTGATATACAGTCTGTGCATCGACAAAAATCAAATGGGTCTGGCCCAGAATCCCCCATTTCCCCACTTTTAACATCTGATCCTAAAAAAGAACGTTCCCATTCACAAAGTTTTAGTAGACCACATAGTCATTCTGATGATGCCTCAGTTACATTGAGAGAAGAAAGGGAAGCACAGCAGCGGAAACCACCCTCACTTCGGAAGTTGGCCGAACTTAGTTCTGCCGAGTGGCTTTATGCTGTGTTAGGAAGCATTGGTGCTGCCGCCTTTGGTTCTTTCAATCCCCTCCTGGCTTATGTTATTGGCCTTGTGGTGGCAGCTTACTACAGAATTGATAAACATCACCACTTAGAACACGAGATAAACAAGTGGTGCTTGATCATTGGCTGCATGGGTATCGTAACTGTTATTGCCAACTTTTTGCAGCATTTCTACTTCGGTATCATGGGAGAGAAAATGACAGAAAGAGTTAGAAGAATGATGTTCTCAGGTGCATAGCACATCCTTTTGTTATTTCTTTTTTATTTTAAAAAATGGGACTTGTGAACATTTTTATCTGTTTCATTAACATGGCAGCCATGCTACGGAATGAAGTAGGATGGTTTGATGATGAGGAAAACAGTGCGGACAATTTATCCATGAGATTGGCCAATGATGCTACTTTTGTACGAGCTGCTTTTAGCAATCGACTTTCCATATTTATACAGGACAGTGCTGCAGTTATTGTTGGCCTTCTCATTGGTGCTGTGCTGCACTGGCGGTTAGCACTGGTGGCTTTTGCAACCCTTCCAATTCTCTGTATTTCTGCAGTTGCCCAGGTTTGCACCTGCTCTTCTGGTTTTCCAAATTTTTCTATTTTCCCTTACTATGAACCAAATACCCTAGAAGCTAACATGTGCCCTTATGCGAGAGACAATGCCTAAACCTTTGTGTTGAAATTCAATTTGATATTTAGCTGAATGTGGACAGCAGGGATTAATCTCTAAACCACCTGCTCATAGAGACTCTTAACATGAATCAACTATCTTAAAAGCTAAAATTGTTGGGTGAAAACATGAATAGTTTTCGAGTTAACATACCTGATGATTGGATTTATTCTATATTTCTTTGCTGTGCCATTGCTTTTTGTGGAAATTAATACCTCTTGCAAGAGCCAGTGATTTTAAAAATTTATAATTTATATAAATTTCCAATTATGAATGAAACATGAATGCTGATCCCAAATTGTGTGATTTCGCTGATATCATATTTAATTGCACATATTGTTTTCTTTCATTCTATTCATTCTTTATTGTGACAAATAGGTATGAATTTACAGCAAGAATGTTGTGACTTTTGGGAGACATAACAAATACAAAACCTAGAGATGTCTGGATTGTGTTAGACTTATTAATACTTTAAAAGGAAAGGAAAAAAAAAGTAATTTTAATTTGTTTTTTCTAGGTTTATTTGTCTCCAAAATTAAGCATAACAACTTTTTTAGCATAAAAACTCAACAAGTATTCTGTTGTGACTTGTGATTAAAAACATTAATAATGAAATTTCTGTGTCCTTGCAGTAGCTTATTTTGACAGTGTCTATGGCTAATTTTATGCTTCATGAAATTTGACTTTTGTCCTTGTATTAGTATGCTATTACATTTATCTCTTTGTAGTGTCAAACATCGTTTGATCCATGTAGCGACTCGACATAGTGGTAAAAAAACTTTGGTTATTGTTGTATTTCCTTGCTGCATCACTGTTAATATAATTGATTGCTAGTTTAAGATTTCATGTTGGCTGTTGGGTTGACTGTCAGTTTCTGTGGAAATATTATCCTACATTAATTAATGATATTAAATTATGACCTGCTCATCCACACAAAGAAGTCAGAACCTGCTATGAGAAAGTGAGACCCACAATACACAATATTATGTTTTTTCCCTTAATTATATGAATGACTTGCTAATGATTGTTACGATTAATATGAGAGTTTAGTTACTTAATCTTTTGCATAAAATCCACACAAAGAAGTCAGAACCTGCTATGAGAAAGTGAGACCCACAACACACAATATTATGTTTTTTCCCATAATTATATGAATGACTTGCTAATGATTGTTACGATTAATATGAGAGTTTAATTACTTAATCTTTTGCATAAAATCCATATTAATTACAACCTGCTTGAATATTGCAGAAATTGTGGCTAGCTGGATTTTCAAGAGGCATACAAGAAATGCACAGAAAAGCTTCGTTGGTTCTTGAAGATGCAGTTAGAAATATATACACTGTTGTTGCATTTTGTGCCGGAAATAAGGTAATGGAGCTCTATAGGCTGCAGTTAAAGAAAATATTTAAGCAGAGCTTTCTTCATGGGATGGGGATTGGTTTTGCATTTGGCTTTTCACAGTTTCTACTTTTTGCTTGTAATGCCCTTCTACTTTGGTACACTGCAATATGTATTAAGAATGGTTACACCAATCCATCCACTGCCCTGAGGGAATACATGGTTTTCTCCTTTGCCACATTTGCCCTTGTGGAACCTTTTGGATTGGCTCCTTACATACTTAAACGACGGAAATCCCTCATATCAGTGTTTGACATTATAGACCGTGAGCCTAAAATTGATCCTGATGATAACAAAGCTTTGAAGCCACCCAATGTATATGGAAGCATCGAGTTAAAAAATATTGATTTTTGTTATCCATCACGTCCTGAAGTATTGGTATTGAGCAATTTTAATCTGAAAATGAATGGAGGCCAAACAGTTGCTGTAGTTGGAGTTTCAGGGTCAGGAAAGAGCACTATAATATCTTTGATGCAAAGATTTTATGATCCAGTTGCGGGCCAAGTTTTACTTGATGGAAGGGATTTAAAGCTCTATAACTTGAGATGGTTGAGGAGCCATCTCGGTCTGATTCAGCAGGAACCGGTTATCTTCTCAACAACCATTAGAGAAAACATTATATATGCAAGACACAATGCAAGTGAAGCTGAGATGAAAGAAGCAGCAAGAATAGCAAATGCTCATCATTTTATTAGCAGTTTGCCTCACGGTTACGACACTCATGTTGGGATGAGAGGTGTTGACTTAACCCCAGGACAGAAACAGAGAATTGCAATAGCAAGAGTAGTACTGAAAAATGCACCTATCTTATTGTTGGATGAAGCAAGTTCATCAATTGAATCCGAGTCAAGCCGAGTGATACAAGAAGCTCTAGACACACTAATAATGGGAAACAAGACCACTATTTTAATAGCGCATAGAGCTGCAATGATGAGGCACGTGGACAATATTGTAGTGCTTAATGGAGGACGGATAGTGGAAGAAGGGAGTCATGATACGTTGGTGGCAAAGAATGGTCTGTATGTCCGATTGATGCAACCTCATTTTGGTAAAGCTATGCGTCAGCATCGGCTTAGTTAGTACGGGAGAATGTGATGCGAGTGATTGCTACGAATGTTGGTTCATGTGCATATTTGATTTTCTGCTTGAGATGAGCCCCTGACGACTTTTGCTTGATAGGCATAGGAGAGATAAATAGATAGTGAGGTTTAAGTATATAGAATTTTTGAGTTTGGTTGGTCTTCGATTTGGGTGGATTCTTTGGAGGCGACTCGGGGGTGTTTTCAATCCATTGTATTGATTTGTTTCTCAAATAGAGGGTGGAATCAAACACTGATTCTGCTGAGGTGACTCCTTCTCTGGACTTCCTTTAAATTCTCCCTAACACGTGCATGGATGATAAACTTATTCTTTACTGTAATTTTGTTTATTCAACTTGTGATATTTGTAGAGAATTCTGAACAAAGAGCTGTAACCTTTGTATATATAATATATATAGCAATAGTTTAGAAGGCATTGCTTTTTCTGCTTGAATTCCGAATATTTCTCTGAATAGAATAGATGCAAAATTTTCAAGTGTATTCGCCAAAAATGTTACTGCATTTTTGAGTAAACTTCCAGTAAAATACAAACAATCATTTTGTTTAAACCTTTTTTTTTCTTGTAAGTTGTATTGAATAGTCAAGTCTGATTGATCCTTCAAGTGTTTCTACTTGTCAAAGTGGATGACTGAAAGAATGCAAAGCTACTTTCGAGTGACACAATAAACTATCTGGCTAGTTTTTGAAGGAATTAATCAGTGTTAAACTGTATTTAAATAGAGTCTTAAAAAATTTGCTTTCGCTAAACCGTGGTTAAATAGAACATGAATATTTTATCATGATTAAATTGTAACCTAACCTTTAAAAACTTAAAGACAATTCTGAATGATCACATCTACTTGTCAAATCAAATTAATAAAAATATGTTCAATTGAAAGACTTTTTGTGTACTCCCTAAGACTTAGTTCAACTTAACAATGCTGATATTGTTAAATTGAAATCTGAATCCTTACGGAATGTGCATGAATTTTAGGTGTTATTTATCAGTTGTATAGAAATTAAGTACATTCTTGTGCAAATTTATTTATTTTATGTCAAAACATTAAAATCAAATAGATAAAAAAAACATTTTTTAATTAAAAATTCAAGGGTTAAGATAATTTACTAATAAAAGAAATGTTCACCATTAAAAAATAAATAATTAAACTTAATCAATTGTGTTTGTCCTCAAATGCTTGGCTATCCACGACTTTCGGTCAACACATTCCACAACACTGATCTCGAATTTCAGATGCAGCTATATTAAATCACATCCACGTACATGTCAAAACCATGACCAAGTGCCAAACTCACTTCACTACCTGCATGCATGCATGGCTTATATAAACACCAAACAAAGTTCTCATTGTTTTTCCTCACTTAATTTCCACCAAATTATATACAAAAATAAATAAAATCAACAAACACATAAGAATCTGATCTTGTGTTTTTTTCTTTAGGTTCTGATTCTTGAGAGGATTAATAATGCCAATCTATAGAATTGCAATTGGATCTCCAGGAGAAGCTGGTCACCCTGACGCAATTAGAGCTGCATTTGCTGAATTCTTCTCTATGCTTATTTTTGTTTTTGCTGGTCAAGGCTCTGGCATGGCTTACAGTGAGCACTAATCTCACAATTTTTTTTGTATTTATTTCCTTTCACTTTAAATTAACATCTCTTTTATAGCCCTAGTCTTTTCTTTTTTCCATTAATTAATATGGTTTACATTTGGATCCCGACTGACTAATCTAAGAAGACTAATCTCAGCGTCCATTGACACGGAGCCCATTTAAAGCCCGAGATGTTGGTTTGAGACAGATTAATCCAAGGGGACTGATCACTGTCTACTAGTGGAGCCCATTTAAATTTAGAAATGCCGGACTTGAGGCTGACTAATCTAAAGGCACCAATTACACCGTCCACAAGCAGGAGGCCCATTTAAAACCAGAGATGTCATCTTTGAGGTTGAGTAATCTAAGGGGATCAATCTCACCATCCACTAGCGAGAGTCTATTTAATGTCAGAGATGTCGGCCTTGAGGCTGACGTAATCTAAGGGGACCAATCTCACTATCCACTAACGGAGACCTATTTAGATATAGAGAAAAATTCTATATAAACTGACCCAACACAAAAATTATTAACACCTAGCGGGATTGAAATCTAAAACTTGGAGAAAAACAGACTCTCATACACAAGTATTCACCGACCAGCCAATCCTTAGGGGTTGAATAGGAGTTATTATTAATTAAAATGATACTAATATTAGAATGGTGGTGAAATAACTGATTGATTGTTGGTTATTTGGCAGACAAAATTACGAATAATGGACCTGCAACACCTGCTGGTTTAATAGCTGCATCACTGTCTCATGCATTTGGACTATTTGTTGCTGTTTCTGTTGGAGCAAACATCTCTGGTGGACATGTGAACCCTGCAGTCACATTTGGTGCCTTCATTGGTGGAAACATTACACTTTTGAGAAGTATGTTATATTGGATTGCACAGTTACTTGGTTCAGTTGTTGCTTGCATTCTTCTCAAGTCTGCTACTGGTGGAATGGTAACCATTAATCTTTGCCTTTAAACACTAGTACTCACTCTCTTCCGTATTATAAAAGTATACTTTTTAATCTTATTGAACAATGTATCTGATTTATTTAATAGACTATAAAATAGTGATACAAATACAAATATCAGACATAATATTGACACATAAATATGACACTAAAACATCGATACAAGTATAAATATCAGACACAATATTGACATATACATATGACACTCTAAAACACAGATCCGTATACAAATATCAGACACAACATTGACACATACGTACCGATAATAATTAAAAAAAAATATAAGTGGTTGAATGTAACTATATATTAGTCTACAATGTTAAGGACATGTGTTGACCTATCAGTTTTGGTTGGATCAATTGGCCCTATTTTAGGCTAGATCAGATTCATTAATGTGATTGAATGTAATTGCATATGATAGTGTGTGGTCGGTTGGTTTAGAATATGGTTAACCTACCCGTTTTGGTTGGCCTGTATTTTGGACTAGATCGGACTCATGATTGAACGTAAGTATATATGTCATGAATCATTTGGTCCATGTTTTAAGCTAGATCAGACTCATTAATGTGATTGAATGTATCGGTACTACATAAATTTCTAGTAACATTGTGCATTTTTTTTTGTGTAATTTAAATATTTCAGGAGACATCAGCATTTGCAATATCCTCAGACATATCAGTATGGAACGCCCTAGTTTTTGAAATTGTGATGACATTTGGATTAGTATACACAGTTTATGCAACAGCAGTAGATCCAAAAAAAGGCAACATAGGAATCATTGCTCCACTTGCAATTGGTATCATTGTTGGTGCAAATATCTTAGCTGGTGGAGCATTTGATGGTGCATCAATGAATCCAGCTGTTTCATTTGGGCCTGCTGTTGTTAGTTGGACTTGGACTCATCATTGGATCTATTGGGTTGGCCCATTTGTTGGTGCAGCAATTGCTGCTATTGTCTATGATAATATCTTCATTGGTGAAGATGGTCATGAATCTCTCACTAGTAGTGATTTCTAAATATATATAATTTTTTTATTTCGAAATTCGGTATCCGACTATAGAACCGCGAGATCAATCCCAGTATTCTGATTCAATAGCGAGAGACCAATTAAAGTCTGAGTAAAATTTTATATGAACTAATATATAAATGTTGAAGAGAGAATAAGTTGTTGAAGATGTTTCAACATTTTAGAGATCGATAGGAGTTAAAATTCTTTATGTAATTTTGTTGTAGAAATTAGGCCTTTTTTTTTTAAAGATGTAATAGAGATGAGCAAGAAATTTATTTAGATGAATTCTTATTAAACAAATGAATTATTCATTTTATGAGAATTTTTTGCTCGCTTTCTTTTAAGTTGTTATATTCAAAGCTGTATCTGGTCCAACCGCTTCGATTTGATAGCCTAAATATTTAAATAGGTTGATCCGATTGATTAATGAGCTATATAAAAAAATTCGATGGGTCAGCTCGACCCGTATTTCAATATTATAATTTTAATTTTATAAAAAGAATTTAATAGATAAAAACTACATAACATAAGTAGAGAGTCATCATAAACTTAATTAAGTGATATTTAAAATATTCATCAAATCAAAATATATATATATATATATATATATATATATATATATATATATATATAATATATATATATATATATATATATATATATATATATATATATATATATATATATATATATATATATATATATTCCTTGATCACAATCTTTTCCTTGATCACATCATCTTAAAAATATATCTTCATTCTCTTTAATTTTTCTTTATCACTTGAAAACACTTATGCAATAATATTTTTATCTCAATCTTTTTTCTTAAAAATTTACTAAAATCTTTTTTTAATGGGCCAGCCCGAAATCCGTTTGGTCCGGCCCGATCCATAAAAAACATAGGCCCGATAAGATAAACTAAAAAGATAAAATCATATTTTTTAAGTATTTTTCGATCGAATTCATACTAAATTATTGGATTTATGAATCGGTTCGATAGACCAAACCCATTTTAACAACTCTACTTATATTATTTCCTTTATGTAAGAAGATTGGTTATTTGTCAAATATCAAGGTCAAGACTGAGATTATGCAATTATAAGATGGCCACACTTGTTTTTGTCACAACTTTAAATAAAAATAATTAGAGTATACATATTAAAATATATATTATTATTTAAAAGATCAAATATGTTTATAATCATTTTTCGTTCTTCTAAAATTTTTTGTTAAAAAATCATCTCTTTAAAGTTAAATTTTTTAATTTGATTCTTCCTATAACTTAGTGATAAATTTTACAATTTACTAATTGAATTAGCGACAATTTATTATATAGCAATTGAGTTAGCGACAATTTTAATAAAAAAAGAACAAAAGTTAAAATTCGTAATTTTAAAGAGATAATTCTTTAAC